GGGACTCATTTACCTGTGCTCGATACATTATAACTTTTTTTATATAAAGGTCAAAATTTTTCCAAGACCAGTGATGAGAAAAACTTCCGTCAAAAAAATTAATATATCTAATTCTAGAGATGATCGGTAACATTGATCACGTGTGCGTGAATTCTCAAAAGTTTTATTTATTATTTATTATTTATCGTTATTTAATGTACAAGATAATACAATCGTTTCGATATGGCAGTGTTAGTTTTGGGTGCTTGGGCAGCATACACCATTATTTGTGTTGTAGGTTTTCGTCAATCCTTATTTGATTATTTTGGAATTTCAACTATTACCAAGTAAAAATTTCATAACTCGATCTTTTAGGTTTTATTTATATTTAGTATCGCATTCACAAGATATTATCAAGATAAACATGATAGTGAACGGCTTGCAACAATAGTAGCAATTTGTTCCTTAGCATTATGTTTAAGTACAGTTGCTTTGTTCCCTGTAGACATATTCTTAGTCTCAAGTACTGTTGATTTGAGTACAGGATTAAAACATGAATGGGCTACCAAAGAAGTTGTAGAAGGAATTGTCCATAATCTTAAATTCGTATATTATGGTAAATTCAGATACTCTTGTGAATCTAACCGTTTAAATTACAATTCACTTATTCTTTAAAAATCTTTAGGAACATATGGATTTATTGCAATTTTCTGTGCATTTATTATTCCATTTGCATATTTTTATTTTGAAGAGCTTGAAGAAGATCAAACAAATTCGCAGGTAAGTCCTGATTTAATATTATTTTTAACTTTATACCTATCAATTATATTAACCTTGTTTTTTTTTGATGCAGCGCGTCACGGCCGCTTTGAAGTATACTGCATTCTTCGTGGCATTTGTATGCATCTGTTTATTGTTTGGATTAATTTTACAACCATCGGAGAAATTGCCACTTGATTTAGAATTTTTCAAGAAATTATTAGCTTCAAGTCGTAAGTTATAAAATTTACTTTTTAAATTTAATATAATTATAAAAAGATATGCTAAATTTTACACGTTATATTCGTAGTTGGGGAGAATAGTATTTCATTTGTCATATCTATTCTTATGATTCTCGGGATGATCGTGTTTATATGTTACACTGTAAGAATATATCTTTTAATTTTGGTTGAAATTTTTGACACGTCAATAATATATTTTGAATAGGCCCCGGGACTTTTTCTTCTCCCAATTGGAATGATTAAAGGTACAAATAAAATTAACTCTGAATCTAGCTCAGAGTTGAGTTCTTCACTTACTTTAAATCGTGAAAAACAAAGAATTCTTAAAGCAAAGAATTCGGGTCCAAACAATATGATGTCAAGGAAAGATGCAAAGCAGTTTGAAATTTTGAAAAAAGAAGAAAAGTAAGCAGATTATACTGTAAATCTTTTATACATATTTGTTTTTTTAATACTTTTTTTTTTTTGAAGGATTTTGCTTCGTCGATTGAGACTAGTTACCGAGTCAAATGGAATTTGGAACAAGATTATGTTTATCCTTAGGCCATTTGAAGTGTGTATCTTATTTGATTTTTTTTTTTTTTTGTTATTTTAACATAAAGAATGTTTTGTTTAACGTTTATGATTTATTAGCTCATAATTGGCTTTTTGTTGACTATATTGACCATTGTAATACTCATTTCAATATTCTTAACCTGGTAATTTTATTTATTGTTCAATATGTCTCTCTTATTTGCTATCAAATACTCAAGTTCGAAATTTTTTTTTTTTAGTATTGATAAGGTCAAGAATTCAATATGTGGAAGAGAATGTGGATATATTATTAATCATCCAGATATCTTTAATCCTCTTAATTTTATATTCCTCAAAGCAGCTAATGTGAGTTTTCATATATATTAACATAATTTATATGCATAATTAATTAATTTTTTCCTTTTTTTTAAAAAATAAAAAAAAAACACTGACAATTCCTAGTATTTCCCTATTGATTATTTCTTCATGGTACTCCTTATCCTGTACTTTTTCAGTAGCACTGTATATGGAGTTATTTCAATTGGAATTCGTTTCTTATGGGTACACCTTTATAAGTTCCGTAAGAATTCTACACCTCCTCAAGGTAGAATTCAAATTCTTTTTAGTCGAACCTGATTAAGATTATTTGGCTTGAAGATTTATTCTTTTTTTTTTTATTTATTATTGTTTTTAACAGGATTATTGTTTGGTTCTATATTGTTCATGCTAAGTCTATTGGCACTTAATTACACTTTGACTATGGTGGTTACTCCTCAATACGCTCAATTTGGAAGCCAAATATATGTGAGTTTTGTTTCTAATTTATGAATAGCTTTGGCATTATTTTACTCACCAAGTTAAAATTTAGTGTAATCATACGGTAAACGAGGTTCGTAACTGTACCGATTATCCCCAATTAATTATACCATGTGATGTTACCGCACCAGCAGGTAAATATTACAAAAACAAATTTATGATACATTTTTTTCTTTGAAAATTACTTAAAGATACAAATTTTCTTTATAAAGATATCTGTACGCCAACGGTAATTTCGACATTTATCCATCGTATAACAGTCAACACACCATTTTTCGGAGTAATATTTTATCATGCTCATTGGGCATTTTTGGGTGTTACATTACTTGGATTTATATATGCTATGATTAAATCACCTAGCGATAGATTATATGATGATTTAGATGATGAAATGGACGAAGAGGAGGAAGGATTGTTATCTAATAATGAAAGAAGAGGCAGAACCGACATTCGGGCTTAATGATTACTATTTTTTTTTTTATAATATTATTCTAAGTACCATCATTGTTATTTGATGACATTATTTTCTTATTTTAATTTATTAAAAAATTATTATTTCTTCTTTTGTTTGCTTTGGTTAATCATAAATTGTCTTCCCGTTTTGGGAAACCCTTAAACGTGATTTGACTAGCGTTAAAACTTCTTTGATCGATGCTTGTTTACGAATACCACGTGGAGATATGTATTTTTAAAATGCAAAATGCAATGCTGTGCATTCCATCAATGACAAGCGCATGATTAAAAATAAAAAAAAAATTTTTTTTTTAATTTTTATAATATGAATAAATAAATATTCGGAGTGAAAATTGGTTTCGTTTAAATTTTATAGGTTTTTGTTGTGATCATGTACATAATCCTGCATGAATTTATCAAAATATTGGATCAGTATTCAAAACCTCTGGCTAAATCATACTCTATATTAGATAATTAACGAATTCCAAAGAGAATCTCTTTTCGTCTTATCTTTCTTGTTTTGCTTTTCTTTTATTTTTCTTCTTTTTAAGAGTTCCATCACGAGGTTAAAGTTTAATGGCTAATTCCCCGAAACTACAAGAATTCTTATCATGGGCACAAGGTAATAAATATCACGATTAGTCGTTGAAATTTCATATTTCAAATTCACGTTTTTGTTAACTCAAAATAAATCAATATCCCTTCATAGAAAGAGGAGTCATTTCAGATATACAAGTACAAGATATACCGGATAAGGGGTTGGGTTTTGTTACAAAACGTAACGTTACTCGAGACAACTCAATAGTAGCTTATATACCGTATAGCATATTACTTAACGCGACAAAAATTAGTAGATACGCTAAAGATAAAGCACCGAAATTAGAGGAAACGTTTAACGCATTAATGGCAGAGGGAAAACATTTGTCAGAACGCGATATCTTCATACTTTTTTTATTATATGAGAGACTTGCTCCAGGAGGGGAAACATCATCATTATGGAAAGCGTACATTGATATATTACCTCGTACACTTCATACACCATTATTTTATGATCCAACATTGAGGGCATGCCTTGATGGGACAAGTTTGAAACCAGCGGTAGATGCAAAATATAATAAATTAAAAAAGGAATACGAATCATTAAGATCATTATTTAATAAATGGTCAAAGGTGGAAGATGCTGGTGGACATGATGTTGTCACATTTGAGCATTTCAGGTGGGCGGATGGCGTGTTTTGGTCAAGAGTATTGTCATTTGGTAGTAGATTTCAAACGATTGATTCCATTGAAGGTGATTTGGATGATTTTCATTTGGTACCATTCCTTGATTTCGCCAATCATTCTTTAACTCCTTACGCAAGATGGGAAATTGGAACGGAAGGGGTTGAATTAATCCTTACCAAATCTGATTCACTTGAACCGATCACCTCTGATACGGAAATTTGTATTTCTTATGGTGATAAACCAAATTCCGAATTATTATTTGTGCATGGATTTACTTTATCCGACAACCCATGGTCCGCGATCTCGTTTCCCGTTCCATTTTATGATGATGATGAATTGGCAAAAGCGAAATTATTATTCATGCAATATCATGGTATTAAACATTTAGTCTCTCTCGCAAGGAAAAAAGGTGGTGCGGAATTATCCCATGATTCGACTAGAGCGATGTGGATATGTGTATTAGCCGAAGAGGATGGAATTAAATTTAAATTGAATCACAATGATCCTTCTCATCCGATTGATTTATTTATTGGAAATCAAATAATTCCAACGCTTGATGTCTTTGATAACGTTATTAATAGTATGGAATTATTACCTGTGATTGAGTTTAGGGTTATGGAATCTGTATTAGAAAATGTTGAATATTTATTATCCCACCTTAAACAAACGAATGAACAAGTATTAAAAATGATGGAACACGGAAGAAATTCCCGTGAATTAGAATATGTAAGGATTTATAGGGAAGACGAATATAAATTTTTGGAATTTGCTGTTGAAGATTTTACAAGAAAGCGTGATGCCTTAATGACCGATGAAGTTGTTCAACGTTTCATGCTTAATGATCAATAACGTCAAGGTTTTTTATTATTACAAAAAATAAGTGTATATATATATATATATGTATATACTGTATATATATTTTTTTTGTATTTTTATATTAGAAAGTTCTTTTTCTTTTAATTTTTAATGATATTAAATAAAAAGAAAAAAAAAAAAAAATCTATTATTATTCATTTAGCTTTCCTGAACTTTTTTATTCGATTGATTATCTGGACCGAAGAACACGACGGTCACGGTAATGTCATCAACAAATCTTCTTGAAATTGGAGAAGGAAGAGATAATAAAGCGCAAACTTGATCTTGTTTTGCTCCTCCGTATGCATTTCGAATTAAATGTGTGGAAGCATTTTCATCAACAAAAGTAAACGCTTTTTCTTGCTTATAATTTTCCCATTTTAATTCGTCTTCTTTCAAGATAGGGGGATTCTCTTTTTCATCAATAATATCCCTTCTTCCATCCAAAAATTCACCGACAAGTTCCACAACTTCCTCATTTGATAATTCATCCCATAATCCATCAGTTGCTAACACCAAGAATTTATCATTTTCCGTTAATTTATGACACGTTATTTCTGGTCTTGCCGTAACGTAAGGTGGTGTTTTATTTCTACTTCCACCAGCTAACCCTCTTTTGATCTTAAAAAATTTAGTAAAAATCCCATCCTGCATTTTCATATCCCATTTATATTTTGAATCACCAAAAGCTCTCGTTGGCTCTAATCCTCCAAATACTCTACCATTTAATATAATGTTACCTTCTTCCCCCGGATGTTCCTTATCAATTCTTTTAACTTCATTTTCATTTCTTCCAGTTTGATCTTCACTTAACGCGACAGCTTTCCATCTTTTCCCTCCCTTTTCGTTATCAGTTTCCTTTACACCAAGTACGGCTCTTGAATCTCCTGTGCATGCAATGTATAAATCTTTATTAGCAGCATCAATATAGGCCAAAAGTGCGCAACTACCTGACAAAGCTGATAATAAACATTCTTCGATAGAAAAAAGTCCTTTAGTGTTTAATAATTTATTTATAGAATGAATTACAACTTCTTCATCTAATTCGACAAATGCTCTTTCTATCGCTTTCTTGTTTAATTCTTGATTGTCTGATATTAAATTTGAATACTCTCCAATTCCTTCAATCGCTTTATCCAAATGCTCTTTTACTTTTGGTATTAATTTTTTACTTAACAATTT